TGGAGTGAATGAGCACACAACAGGGCTTTGGCTAGCCTGATACCATTAGCTATCCAAATACACAGACTTTTTTCCGAAGCCAAGAGTAGTGTGAGAAGACTCCCTCTCACTCTGTCTCTCTAATGTGACGGGGCTCTCCCTCTATCTTCTTAACCCTTCAGATTTGATACGTAGCCACCTCGACATGCTCCTGACGCCAAACAGAGAGAAAGAGACGCGCAGAAGACGATGACGCAGGCCCGGATAAATGAGAGACACCGGCGAACATTTGCTGATGCCAAAGCCGCTCTGCATGCGGAGAGCTTTTCTTAGCCGGCGTGGGCCCTGTTCCCACCACACACAATACAAAAGCCTCAGACCTGACCGACTCCCTCTGTGATTTCATTTAATCAAAACTCAATCCTTACTTCACTGCTGAGGGTCATCCTAAGATGTGCTCACACAGACACAAACAAAAACACTTACACAGAAGGACAGTCCAGTCAAACCTCATGATGTAATGGGAGCTGGAGAAGAGATCCAGGAAGTAATTAAGAACAGATTATTTTCACAGTAAAAAAGCAATACTGAGCCATGGAGCAGTGGGAACCTGTGGAATCCATCAGAGTATCCTGTCAACTTTGATCACGTAGCAAACGATTTATCACGTCAGCCATGACTGTCAGGAGCCTCTCTTTCTCACCAACCATGTCATATATACTTTTCTCCCTTCTTTCTTCATATTTCTGGTCTTTCCCCCCATAAATCCAGAATACTCTGGGAGTTTTCATAAGTGGTGGACGCAGGTTTTTTTAAATTTGTGAATCCTTCCTGTGGTCAGCGAGTTGCCGTGGGGCCGGCTGCAGCACTAGGTTTTCTCCGGGCTTTCTCACAGCGCCGTCCAAGGCATGACTATTGCTATAGCGAGAGGGAGGCGGGATCTGGCACCGTAAAGCGTGGAGTGTGGAGCGGTCATGGCAGAAATGGCACGGCGAGCACATTTCACACCTCCCTCGGAGTGACTGCAAATTTCCTGTACTGCACTTTTGATTGGAAACACATTTGAAACATCTTTTCATGATCACACTCACCGCGTACAAAAGAAAGAAAAGCAAAGAAAAAGCAGCAAGAATGAAGTTAAAAAAATCACTGAGTGCACTGAGCTAACTTTGGACCTCACAAATGTTTTTTTCCCTTAATCTTCTATTTTTCCAACATTGAATAAATCAGAAATGTGCTGAGCTTAAGCTAAAATAGCACAGGTTATACATCAAATAGTCCAATAGGACAAGCAGCTAAAGGATCTCTCCACAAATGCATTACAGATGAAGATAAGCAGATAAGGCATACCTTTGGCTATCTCCGTTCAATCACTCTTGATAAAACACTACAAATAAAAGCACTACTCACTCCAGCGCAGCACACAACCACTCTTCCCCTCTCCTCTATTCTCTGCCAGTATGTTGGTTACAATGTTCAAAGACGAGGCCCTCTGTCTGGGTTGTTGCCCTCTATCTGAGGTGCCTGAAAAGCAGGGGGAGATGGCTGTGTGTTGTGGCAGCGTGGTTAGTTCTGTTACGGCTGCAGTGTGTTATGCTCCGTAACAGAGAGGATCTCAAAGGCTGGCTGGCTGCAGAACAGCCTGAGAAAGCCTGACGGAAAGCCCAGAGATTCCCTGTGGCAGCTTTTGCCACTCTGTCATAAACAAAACACAAGACGTCTTTCTCTTCTTCCCACACCAACGGGGCTCGGGCGCTGCCAAACAGAACAATCACTATCGCAGCCTCTTCTCCTTTCCAACACGCTCTCTCTCTCCCTCTCTCTCTCTCTCGGTCTCCAACAATATAAACAAAAGGGATCAGCAGAGGCTTTACCTCTGTGAGAGCAACAATGAGGGCGATGTTTAAGGAGACAAAACAAAAGTGTGCATGGGATCAAAGAGGAGCGAGGAAGACAGAGATGCTAAAGACCGACAAAACGCCAACCAAACAAAAACAAACAATAAGCACATCTTGTCATTCACAGCGCGACTGAGGCACAACAAGCAACCACTCATCACTCCAACCGATAAATGTGACACATGAATGCAGGCCTTTTTTATGCCAACAAAAATAAGCATTTGCTACTTAGAAGTGAATTAAAGCCAAGTGCGGTGACAGTGGTGACCTTATGACAGGTTTGCAGACAGTTGGCTGCCCTTTGTCTCTCCCTCTGTCCCGCTCTCTTGCTCTGCCTGCAGACCCCAGAGTGTCTCTCCAGACAGGACTTAAACCGAGCATGGGCTCTTTGGAGGCAGATAAAAGTACCGCGGCACACTGTGTTTGCCAGATAAGATAAGAGAGAGCGCGCAGTAAGTCCATATTATAAATGGGTAGTGCACTGGGCAGCGCCTCCAAGCAGCCATGTGTTTCACTGTACTGCTGTAAACCAAAGTACAGTAGCGACGGTGCGAAGCCACACACTGAAAGCTGGAAAGTCAACAAATAAATGATTTATGAGACATTCACAGTTTGTGTTTTCTGTTTAACAGTACATGTAAACAAATGTAAATACAATATCTCAATATCTTTTCACTAATACTATGCCTACTATTTATAGAGGCACTATCACTCACAAGTTTTTTATTTTGTAAAATATAGTAGTTTATATGTAATATGATAACACAATAAAATATTTTCTGTTTTTAGGTTGACTGTGTTTTATTCCTTTATCCAGCATAAAAGGGAAAACCATTTTCACCTCTCAAATTTAATTTAAAAAAAAATGACACTTTATAATATATAAAGTAATATATATTTATATTTATATATAATATATATATTAAATACCAAAACATTTTCATACAAATTCCATACACCTTACTAGATTTGGTGTGTTTATTCATTTGCAGCTTTCGCCGGGTTCGCAAGTTGTCAATCTAAATACTGTAATTCACTGTTGTACGAGACTATGATTTACAAGATAAATAATGTTTAATAGTACATTTTATTATTAAAGTTTAATAATAAAATGTACTGTTAAACATTATTTATCTGTTTTTGCTCAGTTTAATAAACTGAGAAAAAAAACGTTCTCTGCAGATATGTTACTAAATCCCATAAACACCACTCACTGACCCAGAGTCCACAATGAGTCGCTATGAAATCGTGTTTTTGGCAGCAGCATTCAGTTATTGTGCGAAAACCAAGTCGATAAAAAATCAAATACATTTTAAAATGAAATGTAATAATAATACTTGAGAGAACATTTATCAGACAACGTCAGGACTGCCCGCTACCTACAGTTTTTCACCGCCACAGATAGACCAATAAACGGGAGCTGCTGCCAGGGTTTTGGCTCGGGACGAGTGAGGTGTTTGGCCTGGACCGAGGTTTTGTGTGTGTCAGAGAGAGAGAGAGAAGGGGAGAGAAAGGGAGAGAGACAGGGACGGCTGTGATAGCATTTGGCTTCAGTCTTGTTAGCGGGTACCTTAAGGTAAATCCCAGGCAGAGAGTAAGGGTGTGTATTCGGGCAGTGACTGGAATATGCTGTATGTATATGTGCCTGTATGTGTGCTAGTTGAGTCACTGTTTGAAATTTCCATAAAATTCCAGCTGAGATAATATTAGGTCATGAGCGTGTGTTTGTATGTATACGTAGCCAGCAAATGGTGGTGGAGTGTGTATTTGGAGGATTTGGCTATGAAATGTGTTTCATGTGTGCGTGTGTGTGTGGCTGCTGTGACAGTGTTTTGGGCTGTGGGTGATGAGTACGCGCACTGGAGGCTACAGTGATGTTTGGCCCGAGTGTGAGTGTGTGTATCCACGATGGTGGCTGAGATACAACAATGTTTGGCTGTATCAAACTGTATCTATGAGAGTCCTTGGCCTAGTGTGTGTGCTGTGTGGGTGTGTGTACGCAATCGTGGCTAAAACCGTGTTTGGCTCTGCGTGTGAAAGTGCGCTACTAAGATGACAAGAGTTCTTTCTCCTTTTTGAATATCAAATTTGTGTATCTTTATTTAGCTGTGTTTGTATGTGTGTATGGGTGTGAAGGTGGCTGCAATAGTACTGGCTGTCTGTGAGCGCTGGCGTTGGGTGTGTGTGTGTGAGTGTGTGTGTTTGGCAGCCAGGTCCAACGTGGTGCTCGCGTTCAGGCAGACGGTGAAGGCGGCAGCAGCCTGCGGCCTGAGAGCAGGAGACTCGCGGCTCTGCTCTCTCTCTCTCTCTCTCTCTCTCTCTCACACACACACACACGGAACCTGGGCAGTGGCCAAATGACGATGCCTGGCTACAATGGCCTTATCGTGGCACATACACTTCGACAGACTGAGTACAATTTTATAAACAGCGAGTCTCACTCATCGCACAAAAACACACATTTTGACAGTGGTGATCAGCTCATAGAAAACACACACAAACACACAGGCATGCAAATTCCTTCCTATAAAAAAAACACAAAATATATGCTCAATATGAAGCCGCAAATGCCTGAAAAATGAACTCATACTTGCCAGAGCATGTTGGCTGAATGCCCTTGACACACACATATTCTTTTTATTACTGTTGATACTATGTTGTCATGTAAACAAATACCAGGAAACAGAAGGACAACTATGAAAAGACAAAAAGCAAAACTATTTGTCGTTTGCACACGGAAATAAAAGCAAGAAGGGTTTTTTAATTTGTTTCTCAGGGTTAAATGTTTGCTTTATTTATTTAAATTAATATTGTTAATTTACCTAAATAAATAAAATAATAATAATATATAAATATGATTGGTATCATATATAATTCAAACACTTTTTAAATGTGTTTCAAAAACTAATACACTTATCTTTATTTATTCTAATTTCCGTCAATACCTATATTTAATTATGTGTCACACAAACCAGTGTTTGTGTGTAATTTGTTTTTCTGTGTTTGTGATAATGCAAATATTTGTGCTCATCTATATGCACATGCACACGGGCATGTATGACGAGTGTTTATGTGTTGGCATCCCTCCCTTTATTAGTGTCTAGTATCCAATTGGCCACATACCTGGCGTGTGGACGAAGTAGGCCAGGTAGAGGTCCAGCTCCTTGACGGACACTCCGATGTGGTGCGGCTGGACGCACAGGCCAGGGTTGGTGCACTGTGGAGACTTGACCAGCCGCTCCCCGTCCGTGCTCTCCAGGGGGCTGCCCTTGAACAGGATGACCATCACCAGGTCCAGCCGCCACACCTTGTCGGCCTGGCGCAAGCAATCGATGCGACGGATCTTGCCCTTCTGGTCGGGGTTGGACAGCACGCAGCAGGGGGGCTTTTTCCCCGTGATGGAGAGCACAAAGTCCTCACGGAACTCGGGCCGGATGTCCTTGCGGAGCTTGGCCAGCAGGCGCGAGGCCCACTTCTGCTTGATCTCTGGCTTCTCCCCCAGCAGCTCGTCTTTCACTGCGCGCTCTTCCTCCTTGGACATGCGCTTCTCGTGCTTCTTGAAGTATTTGCGCTTGCGGGCCTGCAGGTTGAACCAGGTGTAGGCGAAGGCGCGGACATGGGGCAGCAGGGCCTCGATGAAGGGGTGGAATTCATCCTGGATGAGGGAGGAGGTAGGGGGGAGGGTGGAGCAGGAGAGGGAGGAGGGGTGGAAGCAGGAGGAGGCAGTGGAGAGAGAGGGAGAGAATGGGGGAGAGAAGGATGGGGAGAGAGGGAGTGGGGGTGAGGAAGGGAAGAGAGAAGAGAGGCAGTTAGCACCGGCACGCAGCATGGAGGAGCGGCGCCTGCTCTGTACGAGCGGAGGGAGAGAATGAGCGAGAGGTGCGGGAGAGAGAGAGAGAGAGAGAGAGAGAGAGAGAGAGAGAGAGAGAGAGATGTGACAGAGATGCATTTCACTCTCAACACACACACACACACACACATCACATTGAAGGACACACTTTACAAAACAATAACTAAAAGTGGAGAAATGGAATTTAAGTATCTTCTTCGAATAACAGTGGAAATATTTGTGTACCTGCATAAATACATAAACGTGTTCATATTAAATAAATATTGTATATATATATATATATATAATGTATTTAATATCTACATCCGTAAAGTAAAAACTATTTTTAAAACCTAATGCTGACTGACTACATAAACTGCAATATATAATATATGCAACTCGTAATAATGTTAGAGAACTCCCAACTAAATTGAAATTATTCAAATTAAAATATTTGTCCATAAATAACATAAATGCGTCTGCACAAAGATGATCAATAACAGTCACTTCCATAAAACATATGGCAATAAAACAACATTAACATAGTAGTTACCATTTTGCTCTCTCATCATAAATTCACCCGCCGATTGTAAAGAAACTTAATGCACCACGAGGACAACAACTGGATTGGTGATTCAAAAGGCGCTGAAGTGATGCTGCATATATTAGAAAACAAAAGACTGAGGGAAAAAAATTAAGCAAAAAGAGAAGCTGAGAAACTGTCCAATAAAAGCAGCAGGGGGGAAAAAGCTGAGAAAGAGGAGACAGGCCAAGGGGGCGCAGTGTAATACCAGCACAGGAACACAGGAGGTACTGTAGCAGGAGAGCTGCTGTTCAAGAGCACAACAGAAGGAGAACGTAGAGAAGTTAGACAGTCTCTCTGTCTAAAGGACCTTTAAAAAAGAGTTGGACGCGCACGCACAAAACAGATATTGCTGCAAAAATTTACAAAATTATCAAAAACTTCAACAAGCCCCCTAGTTTGTTTTGACAAACAAAACAACAAAAAATGCTTGGCAAAGCGACGCGTGCTATTGGTTCAATTCTGTGAGATCTGCATAAGACTCGCAGAGAGAGGGAGAGAGAGAGAGAGAGATGGGGGTGCGGACGGAGGAGAAGAAGAGAAAAAAAACAAAACAAGAGAACCGAATCAATGTTGGAAGAGTGTGCACGACCGCTGGCAAACCCGAGTGCAGCTTCTTTTTCCCCCCTCTTTCTCTCCAACTCTGTGTCTCTCTTCCTCTCCACTTTCCTTCTCTAACCATTGACTGAGTCTGTGCCAACATGCAGAGGGCCCACCTATTTGGCACCGAGTCTCAAACAGCCCAGCCAATACGCACGCTCCCAGCGCTGAAAGGGAGGGAAGAGAGAGATGGCAGAGGGAGAAGCAAAGCGGTGGGGGGGGTGGATGGTTGGTAGGCTGGTAGTGGAGAGAGAGAGAGAAGGAGGGAGGGGGAGAGACGGGGACTGTGTGTGGTGCAGGCAGAAGGCACGTCATTAGCCAAATAGACAAGTTCCAATCTAGTGCGAAGGCAAAGTCCAGAGGATATTAATTTTACATGCATCCAATCGAGACAGGCACCCGGCCTTCCTAAAGCCCCCTACGGTCGCCAGCCCCCCCCCACCTTCCAATCGCTTTCGTC